CCTCGATGTGGACAGAGCGCAGATAGCCCGTTTTGTAAGTTTGAGCTAAATAAAACTAAATAATTAAGTAACACAACATTTTGTCTTACAAGGAAGTTATCCTGGAGACCCAACCAAGTGTTCAATGTCCTTGAAGTTACCACGAACTAGCGTATTTTAGGACCACAGGTCTTTCAGTGAGAATAGTTTGAGTGTTTGTATTAATCTGTAGAATATGAAAATTGCTAATAATAAGTTATGTTAGTAGCTATGTTAGAGACAAGGAGGGTGGCATGGAGGTCCAGAACCAGAACTAAAAAATTGAGATGGCAAAGAGATGTTGAATTTGTTTTTGTTTTATAATGACATTATTTTAATCAATCAGCACCACTTTCAGTGCATATAACTGTTTTTTTGTTCCTAGTAAAAAAATACACCAAACGTTCTAATCCGATTGAATAAAATAAGTGATATATTAAATTACAAGTTAGTAGCCTTCTAAGCAACATTGTACATATTATGAATTAAAAGGTGCACAAAAAGAACATTTATTAATAACTTTTAAATACTTCAATTGCCAAATCAGGATAAAAAAAGACCTGACAAGTAGTGACTGCAGTGATGAAACACAACTAGTTATAATATATCATCATCATCTTCATTCATTTAACACTTGCTGGAAGAAGTTGGATAAGAAACAAAAATATAAGTAAAGGTCTGGTTTTCACAGCTAGTATGGTCTTCTTTATACAGTATACAATTTATTTATTACATTTTGTACTGGTATGTTAAAGAGATGACAGTGCAGAGTTGAACAAAAGAAACTCCTGTTTTTACTGCTATGGAAAAAGGCGTATGGATGGAATCGAGCGCCACATATTGTGCTGAATGCAAATTAGCCGTTTATTTTATTATTCCTTTGCAGCTAAGTATATTATGCACGACATCAGTAAGTTTTGGACAAGTTCTAGTGCATATTGATAATAGTTAAAATTGGGAAAAAGGGCTTATGGAAAAGGTTAAGAAGAGACAGCTGCATTCTCTTGCCTCAATGTAATTACGAGCTAGGTGGTATGGAATATAACTGATACTTGAAAACGTCGGTACTTGGTAAAACCACATAATTACAGAATTGAGGAAAAACAAGACGATTGTACGTTTCACAAATACATCATTTATTCTATAGTTTAGCCAGTAAAGCCACCATCAGGTACAGACTCCATAGTCGTAATAAATGATGTGTTTGTGGAACGTACAATTGTTTTGTTTTTCCTCAATTCTGTAGTATTGAATAGTCATAGGTGAGTTTCAGGTAGGGTTTTGAAGGGTTTGGTTGTGGCTTTGTGGAGAACTTTATCTATGATAGATCTGGAGGATAAACCCGAGAAAGAAAGGGGGTGAATCATGTCTTCAGATTTGGAGGTGAAGTCCATATCCTCACTACAAATGTAAAAGCTCGGAATATGGAACAGCATGTATAATGAAAGAAGGATGGAAATAATCGAAACATTAAGTACAAATGGGAATATGTAGTTTTATGATAAGTTTGCAGCTGTGAGTAGTGTCGTGTTTGTAGAGATAGGAGGTATGAAACACAGAAAGAAAAGAAATGTTAAAGTGTTCATGTTAGTAAACTTGTGTATAACACGTCTGATGTTTTTCATGTCTCTTGTATATTCGTCATTCAAAAAACAAAATTTACATTTGTTAACCTACCCTATTTTTAAGTAAATGATACTTTCTTCACCCACTTTAAATGCAATTTTCTGAAAAGTTCAAAATACTTAAAATCAAAACGTTTGTTAGAGAACATTTGATTGATGATATAGCCGAATTCCTCACTTTAAGAAATTGTTTTTCTCCTTTCAGTGGTTTCCTGAAAAGAGTGGTCTTGCTACCTCTTTTATCTCCTGTGGGTTTGGTGTTGGTCCTCTCATATTTAACAACGTTATAACATCTTATCTGAATCCAAAGAACGTTTCACCGAATGAAGATGGGTGGGCTGTACTTCAACTAAGTAGTTAAATATTATGTTTAGGAATATTTTGTACTGGATTATAAACTAATTTTGTGTATTTTTAGAGAAGAAATAGTTGGTGTACTGTTGGGCCATCGGGTTACTTCTTGGATATGAGTTTTATTGCTTAATATCATTACTGGCTAACGTAGTACCAACTATTACTTTATAGATAACTTACAAATAAGTAACTTGTTTATTTGTTATTAAACCCAAAGCTACACAATGGACTATCTGTACTAATATGTCATAAAAGACAACGGCTGGAAAAATATCATCATATTTTTTCACCCTCTGGGCTATAGTAACGAAAAATTCATGTTGAATGTGCCTTAGTAACTCATGACAGGTACATCTAAATGCTCTAGAATAGAATTGTCCTTACGACTTTACCACATTAAACCCTACCAAGCATTATAAAGTTCACTGACCTATTATCTATTCATGCATCAAAACGAAACTTGACGTCATTCACAAATTTATGTATTTCAATTCTCTGCATTATTTTATTTTTTACAGATAATAATGTCTTTAGATAACCATGACAGAAGAAAGTATTATCTTTTTTATTAAAGTCTCGGTTAATTTGTAGCACTCACCATAAATTTTGTATTGGGTTTTTCTGACCAATGTATGTTGTCAATGCTATGTTTCAAACTTTATGCATACACCAATTAGTTTAGTATTCTAGTCATAGACAGAATTGTTTTGTTTTTCTCCTAGGTTTGTATTGACGTGATTAACTCTAATACAGCAAATACCTATGACAAAACCAGTATTCCTTCTTAAAACTATGAACCCCCAAAATTCAGTTTTCAGTTTTGGTGATGCTATTCGTTTTATACCACTCATAATTAATTAACAAAGTGCTGTAAGTATTAAATATTTCCTGAAATAGAGAATGTGTTTCAATTGTGTTTCTGAGAGATACGAGATAATAAACTTTTCTAGCAAAGAGTCCAAAGAAAACAGAACTTTGTTTCAGACTAATATCGGCCTATCTTTTGCCAGCTACTTTACGGACGATGATTTGCTAGACAGACTTCCCTATGTTTTGCTGATTTTAACGGGACTATTGGTTTTATTTCAAGTCACGGCTTGTATCTTGCTAAAACCACACCCGGATTTCGATAAAAACGTAAGTACACCTAAACGTATTGCATGTATGCTGCTGAAGTGGGACAAACCAGTTTTTGTAACGAAACCTATGCTATACGGAAATCGTTATATATATACACGTCACCTTAGGGGCACATTCGTAACCTAGATATTTGTGATAGCTGAAAACTGTTTGTTGAATTAAAACATCCATGCTGATATATGAAAAATCCCAGAATGTGGTTCTCTAAGTTTTTGCTTAAAATACGAACAAACACATAGACGAGAAAATGAACGGACTTTTACATCGATGGAACGAGATGTTAATTCAATGAAAGCCCACTTTATTTTGTGATAATATTAATAAGGAAATATAATAACATCAAAATTCACCTTAATCAGTAAAATAACCAAGTTACTCTAGTAATGGGTTTGTTCGTTTAAAGTTGCACAATGGGCTATCTGTGCTCTGCTCACCAGGGGTATCGAAATCCGATTTCTAGCGTTGTAAGTCTGCAGACATTCCGCTCTGCCACTTGGGGGGGAGGGGGGTAGTAATGAGGAACTGTGAGGAAGATCTGTCAGTGTTTTAGTAATCATTGGGATTAAAAATTTAAAGCTGGATTTTTACATTTCAGTTGAATTAAGTTTCTATTATACTGTTTATATTTTTCCATTTTTTTAAGTTTCCAGTAATTTTAACAGAGTGCTATTAGAGCTAAGTTTTATAGTTCGCTGGATTTTGATTTTTTGTTACGATTTCTGATAATGAATTATCCACTTTTTTAATTGTACAGGTTTGACTACGTTGTATTAAAGGTTATTTAGCAGGGTTAGCTTAAGGATTATAAGATTTGCCTTTTCATATATTATTGATATTACGGCTGAAATTATCGTTAACAGCGAGGGTACCTAACTTATGAATCATGATCATTATAAGTAAGATCTGTGTGTTAAATACGATATGTTCATTACTGGATTATTTTTAGATCTGTTATAGGTGGATAGCTTGTTTTGAACAGAAGTTAAAGGTAACTTTGGATTGTTATATTTTCAGAAAAATCCATTTCGTCGTGGAATAAGAAATAAAAATTCTAAAAAAATAAAAAGTAGTCTCAATAAAAATTTAACAACAACAACAATTTGTAGTGATGGAACTATCAACGACAACAGTATTAACCGACCAGATGATGTAACGTTGATAAAATTTAACCGAAATAATTGTTCAGTTGAGACACGTTCATCAACTCTTTACAATGAAAGTCCAATTCAGACTCCATCTAGTGTCAACAAGACAAAGCAACATGTTCAGACATCCCCAGGGAATTCGGAAGGCAAAGATATGGCCATTTTGGTTTCTTCAAACGATGAATACAAGAATAAAGAACTAAATCAACAGGATTTTGTAACAGCTTCTGGTTATGATGACAACAACCACACCGAGTATCTCACAGTAAAAGAAGCTTTGAAGAAAAAAGAATTCTACATTATGACGAGTTTTTTGTTTCTCCAGTATTGTTTAAGTTCTTATTTTAGTTCTCTTTATAAGGTAATTCAATGTAACTTCCGTTGAACATTTAATAAAAGAAATTTGATTGCAATAATCAACCATAGTCTTTATCTGTAATAACAAAATCATTATTTGCTTGGATGATGTGAGTACATGTAAAATTAGCAACTACTTATAAAAACAAGTTAGATTATTAAATGACTTTTAAAATAATATCATAATAGTAACCAATAAATTAAAAACTCCAGTAGTTAATATAGACATGTTAATATCTTCTCATTTATCAGTCACCAGAGGGTCGCGTATTGTATACTGTGTAATTTAACTTTAAATCTATGCGATTCAACAACATACATACGTATAAATGAAAAGAAAAAAACAACAACACAGGAATAGTAATAAAGCAAGATATTTTAAAGACTGAAATTGTACCTGAAAGCTAGCTTACGATGCTTTCAACAGATTGCATATATTTTTTTCGAAATCAAATGACTGGTTCTGCTTATCTGATTTTTTCCAAAAGCCTACCTCACTTCCTTCCTTCGTATAATATTTTTATAAGCAGAAATAACACAGTAACTGTTTCTAAAATATTTGGTAAGTTTGTGTTTGTTTGTTTGTAATTAAGCACAAAGCTACACAATGGGCTATCTGTGCTCTGCCCACCACGGGTATCGAAACCCGGATTCTAGCGTTGTAAGTCCGCAGACATACCACTGTGCCACTGGGGGGCTATTTGGTAAGTTTACGGACTTACAACGCTAAAATCCGTCTTTCGCTTCCTGCAGTGCCCAGTGGGGCTTTGCTTTACAGCAAACAAATGATGTACAAGCTCACATCAAGAAATGTAACCAAGACGTACTGAAAACTGCAGTTTGAGGAAACATACCAGTGCTGCAAAGTTCGTTTATAATAAGCAGATTTAGGTTTGTTTGTTTTCTGATTTGCTTTAATTTTTTGAGAGCCGCAGGTTGCGTTCTATTTTTTTTTTGACGGGAGGGGGAGCTTGTTTTATTCTTATATATCTTATTTAGGTTTTTTTTTCTAATAGCTGGCTTCAACACGCCTTAAAATGGTTTTATTGGGTGGCTTCGGTGTTTAATTGGGATAATGAGTAGTCCACTGGTTTTCAATTAAAAAACGACACCCAGAATCGCAAACTTTCTGGCCCGCCCACTTGACACGTTCTATATTCCACTTTAGTCGCGCAAGTCGTTATTTTGAGAGCACTTTTGAAAATCAGTGATGCTTATTTTGGGCTTGTTTCGAAAGGCAGCGCGCTTATTTTTTTCGCGAGACTTGAAAATGCTATGAGATATTATCATTTAATAGTGTTTGTCACCGTCCCTGAGGGCAGCCGATCAGCAGCGCCCTACCACCCAATAACCACTCTAATGGACTGACTCTTACTCTTATAAGGTACACAGTTTAAAATCCAAGAATATTTTGTGGTATCGCACGGACTCTAACCTGGCTTGACACAGAGACAACCCACGTCCCTGAATCTTGGGATCATTGATCTAATCTTTTAACCGATGTGACTGTCAGGTTGGTAATATTAAATATACGCTGGTACTTGACACAATAATGGAGGCAATCCAAACATCATTTCAGAAAAAAAAAACTGAAACGGGAGGATGAAAACTGCTGTACCTTCAGTGATAAATCACGATCATTTAATGAAACCTTCAATTAAACAACGTAAATAAATATTTTTTAAACTTAAAATTCATGAAGAACAGATTAAAAGTACTTATTTTGGTATCACTTACTTTGAAGCCTAATCTATCCATCAAACCTCCCGAGGCAAACTTCCCGCAAGCATTCATAAGTCCTGTCAAGCTTGACACTACTCCTAAATAATAATCATCTTCAATGAAGGTTTGACCAAAAGCCTGAAAGTGATAATAATATAATTCAAATGTAATTATTACATCAGATCTTTTAACTCAAATACATTCGGCGTGTGACACATGATTTCGAGATTCAACACAATAATGATTTTCACACACACAACATTTAATTTTTATTTCAACCTAAATCTGAGACAGCAAAAGATAGTCATATTTGCGTTTTGTTATGTGTTCCTACGGTATGTGTGCCACCATCCGGTTTAATTTAATTGATAGGTTGCGCTGTCGTACACTAGAACACTTGTAAACCACTTGGAGGATTTCTGATATGCTGAAACAGTTAACCAATTACAAAATTTCATGCTGAAGTTAGGTTGCCATATAAAAAAATGGTGTCTGCAAGCAAAACCCAATGAATGCCAGGAAACGGCTTATAAACATTTTTGATTTATGACAGTTCTTGAGTGGTTAAATTATAAAGCTGGGGATCTGAACTGTCTCTCTTTTGTAATGAAAGGGTATAAACATATGCCTATGTGGAAACACTTATGACTCAAAGTTATATTCACACTTAAAACCATAAAACTCCATAGAATTCTTACTAGCTTTTTCATGCATAACAAAATAAAATACCCAAGGTTCAGATATAGTCATTCATGATTTAGAACTACTGACCAGAAAAAGGACAACTACATAGTAA